AATGCCTGCTCCAGGGAGCAAAGGATCCCCTGCCTGGAGCAATGCTGAGCTACTGGAGCTTATCAGTGTTTGGGGAGAAGAGGCTGTGCAGGGACCCAGGATGCCCCGTGATCACCCCCACAAGACCCAAAATCAAACTGGAGAGCGCTGCACTATGGGATAGCTGCCCTAGAGTGGAGTGCTACTAATGTAAACACTCTCTGATGCCTAAGGAATTAAGTGAGTACACAACACAAACGCTTGTCTACACTGCGAACTTGTCAACAAAACTTTTTTCTTTCACAGGTACTTAAAAAAGACCCCCCCCCCCCCACGAAAGATAAAAGTTTTGCAAACGCAAATGGCAGTGTGAACGCAGTTTTGTTGTCAGGAGCACTCTCCTGCCGACAAAGTTAATGCCGCTCGCGGGGCTGGAAGTATTTTGTCGGCAAAAGTGTCAACAAAGTACCGACTACGAGCGTTTACACACGCTGACTTTTAAAAGCTGCGTGGTATAGACAAGCCCTTATAGCAAAAAAACTCTGCAAGTGTAGACATACCCTAAATTAAATGTACTTTAGGGTACCAAAAGCAAAAGAAAAACAAACAGAAAATGTCAGAAACTTGGTAACCCCTCTCAATAAACAGAACATAAATCTTTCAGAAACCATAAAAGAACGCACTAAAGATATGGTAATGTCTACAGACACACAAATCTGACAGGATTTTCATTGTATTAATCTCAATTGATAATTCATTTAAGTAAATTTAACAGGATTAGTAAAATGCTCATATTTCCCCCCCTTTAAATTTAATATATGCTAAAAATTAAACATTTAAAGGCTATCTCCTACTCAGAGATACTTGGTCTCACCTTCTCTATTCTCTATCAACCTTTAAACCACGTTCTAGTGCAGGGGTGGGCAAACTACGGCCCGGGGGCCGCATCCGGCCCTCCAGACATTTTAATCCGGCCCTCGAGCTCCCACTGGGGAGTACCATCAGGGGCTTGCCCCACTCCGTGCGGCTCCTGGAAGCAGCAGCATGTCCCCCTTCTGGCTCCTATGCGTAGGGGCAGCCAGGGGGCTCCACTCACTGCCCTGCCCCAAGCACTGCCCCCGCAGCTCCCATTGGCCAGGAACCGCGGCCAATGGGAGCTGCAGGGCAGTGCCTGCGGACAAGGCAGCACACAGAGCCACCTGGTCGCGCTTCCGCGTAGAAGCCGGAGGGGGGGACATGCTGCTGCTTCTGGGAGCTGCTTGAGGTGAGCGACACCTGGAGTCTGCACCCCTGATTCCCTCCTGCGCCCCAACCCCAAGCACCAGCCCTGATCCCCCTCCTGCCCTCCAAACCCCTCAGTCCCAGCCCAGAGCACATTCCTGCACCACAACCCTTCATCCCCAGCCGCACCCCAGAGCCTGCACCCCCAGACGGAGCCCTCACCCCCCCACACACCCTCCTGCCCCAGTCCGGAGCTCCCTCCTGCACCCTGAACTCCTGATTTCTGGCCCCTCCCCAGAGCCTGCACCCCCAGCCAGAGCCTGAACCCCAACCCCCAGTTTTGTGAGCATTCATGGCGCACCATATAATTTCCATACCCAGATATTGCCCTCGGGCCAAAAAGTTTGCCCACCCGTTCTAGTGACAGCCAACTGCAGAGGTACGCAATATATTTATGTACTGATTTCAAACAAAAATACCCATCTCTGGCCTATCGAAACTGGCAACCCAGGGGGATGCATCCAGCCCACCTGATCATTTTATTTGGCCTGCTTACAGGCAGGGTTGCAGTCTCAGAACAATTTTTTAAGACTCAGGCCAGGTCTACACTAAAAAGTTAGGTTGACCCAGCTGTGTCGCTCAGGGGTGTGAAAAATGCACACCTCTGACCAACATAGTTAACCTGACCTAACGCCCAGTGTGGACAGTGACAGGTCAATAGAAGAATTCTATCATCAACCTTGCTATTGCCTCTCAAAAAGGTGGATTACCTATGCCTGTGAGAGAGGTTCTACATAGTATAGTGTCTACACTGAAGCGCTATAGTGGTGCAGCTGCAGCACCTCATCTGTGCTGCTGTAGTGTTTCAAGTGTAGACAAGCCCTGAGCTAGGTTGCTGAGGGGCGCAGTCTTTTAGTAAAGATTGCTGCGTGTAGCATAGATTCATGCCACTCTGCTCAGATTTGCTTCTGCATCACAGGCTCCATCCCTGCCCAATGTCACCCAGCACCAGTTACTGTGGCCCCACTGACTGTCTGGGAGCTGAAAGTCAACCAGGTTTGGTGAGTAGGTGGGTCAAGGCACACCTCTGCCAATGGGGAAGTAATCAGAGGTGGGTCGTATGGGACAGAGATGAACCTGTGTCGATGGGGAATGGAGCAGACCCTGGGAACAGGAGTCCATGTGTCAGGTTGCAATGCCACTCATTTAGCCCAATCACCTCTCCATCACTCACACAGGGGAGGGGCTCTGCCCCACACCACCCCGCTCTGGTAATTGCCTTCCCTTTTGGCTGTGGGACCTGGAAGCCAATCTGACTGGCCACGCGTGGGCTGGGGGGGAACCTCTGCCCAGTGGAGAAGCAGTAAACAGAGCCGGGTGGCCTAAATGCTAAGCCCCTTCCCTGCAGGCATAATGGAGGAGTGGCTGGGCCAAATTGGAGTGGCACTGCAACCTGGCACATAAGAATAAGAGCAGGAGTCTGAGCCTGTGTCAATGAGGGAGCAAAGCAGAGACTGGAAGCAGAAAAGACAAAATGTTGACATTCGTGTTTTTGTTATTTTTGTTTATCAATCCCATGCTTTTCTGCACACTAAAAAGGTTAAAGAGTTATGTTTAAACTGTTCGCGGGGGCTTTTTCGGGTGGGGGTGTATTTAAAGGTTGTGGGATAAGGGTCTTTTCTATTTAAGAAAACTCCTGTTTTACATGTTAATACGTGGTTAACTGTATGTTAACATGCTGTATTTTAGCAAACATTTTGAGTCATGCAATCCATGGCCTCCAAAAAGTGTATAGCCCGTCAAAGGGTTTTAATGGATTTTGTAGCCATCTATCACCTTAAAGTTGCCCATCCATACAGTAGGCAGTCCTACAGAAGAGGCAACACAAATGCGAAGTGCAGTGGGGGTAAAACTCTGGTTTGAAAAATTAACTTGAAATTTGTCCTAGCAAGCGATGGGACCTAAACCATTAATTTCTGCCAAAGTTAAGAACTTTCATTATGAAAAAATATAGTTTGTACTCTTCTGGGTGCAAAATAATAGTTCCAAATATGAATGTAATGTAAGTCAATACAGTGTCATTTGTGTGTGTCAGCACACTATTACAGTGACTCTGTCACTCAACTATGGTAAGGAGAACTAGAGTGAAATTAACAAGACTACAGTTGCACTACCACTATTTCGGAAACATATGGATAGCAGTGGAACTGTCAAGAATCATGCCAATTTCAAGATGGCATTAATTGATAAAGCTACAAGCAGCAAAAGAAACAAACAGTTGTACTATTCACCAGAGAGGAAGACAACTAAGGTTAGGTGGGAAGTACTGTAGTACAGGCCTCCTTCTGACAGCAGCTTGGAGGCCACTGAAGAGGGGAAAGGTATTCATTTCATATTTAAATGGAAATCTTCCTTCACAGCTGCCAGGAAGTCCTTGAAGTGGGCAAAAAGATATGAGTACTAGGCAGCCAGTATGAAGTGATGCGTCAAAAACTCCTAGTAGCCAGGGACAGATACAAAAGACTGAGCCCCCTGAGCAAGGTCCAGAGAATACCTTGGTATAAATTCCAGGACCTTCCTTTTGCCCAGCAGCATGTGGTGGCAGAGAGTTAAGGGTTCAAACTAGAACAAAGTCCCCAGACTTCACTGATGCAGGCTCTTCACAGTCTTTCCAGATTCTTGCACCCATCCCTGCAATATCTGAGCACATGAGCTAACAGGTTTATAGTAGTATTCTGACTAGTAGATCTGGTACATTTTTCAAGACCTCAGATGAACCTTCCATAAATCTAATTACTACTCAGCTTTGACAGAGACTTATATCTTCAAAGGAAATAATTCTAGCACAACTGGACTGTGAGGACCAGCAGTAAAAATCAATGGAGAGGAAAGAATCTTCCCTAAAAATGCAAAAACAGAAATACCTAAATTTCTGAAGGGGGGGGGGGGTAGGAAAGACAGAACAGGTGAACACCATAAAGCAACTTTAAGAGGAAAAGTTATATTTAATATTTTTCAAGTAAATTTTCTGAAATTCTGACACAACGAAGAAAAAAAAAGCACAATTTTTAGAATTTTTCCCCAATGAAATTATATTGCTGTAGGCACATATTTCCTCTACAGACAACACAAGTTGATATATTTGACACAACGCTATTAAAGAGCCACTAAAAATATTTCTAACACTGTAAAGGTGCTCACTGGGCTACTTACACATTTTAAAACTTTAAAAGCTAAGACAGACAACACAAACTGACCTAAGCACAAATTTTCAGATTAGTATTCTGTTAGAATCTTGATTTTAAAAAAAAAATCGTATTTTACTTGAGAATTATCTGTTGCAGCATTAAATACCTTTATTTCCCTTGTAATTCAGTGCCATAAATTGATTGTGTCACACCTAATTTCAATATGGCACTAAAAATTGTCACAGAATTGTTAATATTGCACTAAAAACGAGACTCCATTAGGAATGTTATATTCCACTGACAGTTTTTTTCACTTTGTAACAATAAGTAAAACATTTTAAACATCTTCTTACACAAAGTTACGTTAGGATTGTTCTGTTCACGTTACTCCACAAGTAATTTAGGTTTAACCACAAGAATTAAAACTTAATCTAATTAGTAACTGGCTCTTACATCATCTACCAAAGCACTATAACCAGCTTGGGACAAAGTAGTATTACTTTCTGCTTCAATGTATACTGCAAATTGAGTTGCAAGAAATAACTAGATTACCAAAAAAAAACCCACCAAAGACACTACAGAAAAATTGCTATAATGAAATTGGATTCTTACCCTACGCATGGCTTCCTCCTCCTCTTGACGCTTTTCATAGTGTGCAAAGTCATCAAAGATTGAGGTGGTATGCTTGAAAGTAGCAATTATTTTAAGCACTTGCTTGGCTTTTTCTAGGGGTACCTCTTGAGTGTCCCTCGAATTGGTAACCGGTTTGTTGTCATTGTTTTCCAAACGAATGTGCCGCAGCTGGTTATTGGGAACGTCTTTGACAAAGATCCACTTAACATCAAACTTCCCCTTCCACTTATCCTGAGACCAGACTCCGGCATATGCATTGTAGTCCACAACAGACTTCATCTCAGCCACTCCACAAAAATGTCCACTGCCATTCACACTGAAGAGTAAATAGAGTGGACCTTTCCCATTCAGGGAACGGTAAGCAGCATCCAAGCGTTTATTACCATGTTCAGTACTACACCAGATAGAGTATTTAATGGAGCGGTGTATATCGTCCTCCGAATAGCTTTTGATTATAAACACCCGTCCATTCTTCAGATTCCAATCAAAGTCTTTGGGATTATAGTTGTTTATGGCCTTTAGTTTCTCCAGTACTGGGTGCACCTCTACACCAGGTGAAGAGCTGACAGGTACAACACCTAAGCCAAAGTTTTCGCTGCCAGCTCCTCCATTGTTCTGGCTGAAGCCCACGCCCCTGTTACGAGGAGCTACCCAGCGGTTTTGCAGCTGCTGTTGCTGCTGCAACTGGTGAGGCTGGGCCTGCTGCTGAGGTCCTTGTTGCTGCTGTGGTTGTGGTGGCTGAGGCTGCTGTTGAGGCAGTTGGCTTTGCACCAATGGTGGTGGTTGAATTAATGGCTGAGGCTGCTGTATTATAGTCTGAGGAGGCAGTATTGGCTGGGAAGGGGGTGCTTTTACCACTGATCCTTTCTCATCCCAAGTTCCAATGTTCATGTTGTGTTTTATAGGAGGTGGTGGTACAGCAGGGCCCCCAATTCCCACATTACCCTTAGGCTTGAGTTTCGGCTGAGGTTTAGCAGGCTTCCTAGCGATGGCAGCCCAGGAGGTTGGTTTAGGTGCTGAACTGCTAACTGGGGGCACACTATTTGCTGCAATGCTTGTCATACCTGTACTGCTCAGAGCTGAACCTACAGTTTTTGTCACAGCAGCTGTCATATCCCCACCAATTTTCAGTCCAGTCATGCCTTGTTCAATGCTGCTAATCCCAGGCACCTTGCTCAAAGTATCATTGCCAAATCCAGCCTGTCCATCTGCTATGGCTCTACCAAGAGAGCTAGGTGGATAGCCATAGCTGCTGCTATAAGCAGAGCTTTGTGTTGATTGTCCCTGAGATCCACTTGTCCCCCATGTAGAGAAATCTGCATTCCCAGGAAAAAAATTAAATCCATGTTGACCAAGGAATGGAGGGGTATTTCCTAAAGCCCCAGGTTGACTAAACACACCATCAGGTATATAGTGATGTTCACCATTGCTCATCTGTCCATAGGCTGTCAAGTATGGCATTGGAGGGTCACCTGCAGTGGACCATGCTGCTTCACTTAGAGAATATGGAAATCCAATGGATGGAGCATAATAACTAGGCATGTATGGGTCTGACATTGGTGGATAGCTGTTACTCTGCAAGAAAATAAAGTAAAATCAGCAGTGGAACTTTCCATTATCAACATAATTCAAGGGAAAATGGCAGGCATCAGACAACAAATAATGTTGATGCTTTATTTACAGTATTCCCTTTTACTTTCCCTTTAAGGCTACAGAAATCTCAAACAGATCTTTATCTGAGAATATGTGGAGATATACCTATCTCATAGAACTGGGAAGGACCCCGAAAGGTCATTGAGTCCAGCCCCCTGCCTTCACTAGCAGGACCAAGTACTGATTTTGACCCAGATCACTAAGTGGCCTCCTCAAGGATTGAACTCACAATCCTGGGTTTAGCAGGCCAATGCTCAAACCACTGAGCTGTCCCTTTGAGCTTCACATGCATCAAGTTTCTTTTTTCAAAGATGACTTTAGTGTAAATCTACCTTTTTCTCTAGTAAAAAATTACATACAGTAAAACCTCAGAGTTATGAACACCTCGGAAATGGAGGCTGTTCATAACTCTGAAATGTTTGTAACTCTGAACAAAACGTTATAGTTGTTCTTACAAACGTTTACAACTGAACATTGACTTAATATAGCTTTGAAGCTTTAATATGCAGAAGAAAAATGCTGCTTTTGATCTTAATTTAAATGAAAAAAGCAGAGTTTCCGTACCCTGTCCAATCTTTTTTTTTTTTTTAAACTTTCAATTTTTTTAGTACTTTACGTTTAACCCAGTACTGTACTGTATTTACTTTTTTTTTTTTCCTGTCTCTGCTGCTGCCAGATTGCATACTTCCGTTTCCAAATGAGGGGGGTGACCGGTCAATTCATAACTCTAATGTTCGCAACTCTGAGGTTCTATTGTATGTAATATCAACCAGAGTATTAACTGTCATCCTAAAGACTACTGTGGGTATGGTGATGTTAACCTTCGATTATAGATAGGCATGGAAGGATGAGATTTTATTGGTAAATATCAGTAAGCGCTGATTTCACTGCCTACATACAAGCAACAAAAAAATTCCTTTTAACAACAGAAATTTACAAACAGGCAAAGTAAGAAAAACGCTGCTTGAGAATTTAAGGGTTTGATTTAAGGATATTTGTATATTTTGACATGTGATGTTGACAATGTGCTTTTTAATGGTTATAAAGCTTTAACTTTTTGAATCTCAACATCTAGTGTCATTAAACAGTCTGATTCTACCAGGGTCTGACACTCCCAATAATATCCCATATCTAAAAAAAAAAATGCTTAAAAATAAACATTGATATCTGTCAATTTAAAAAAACAAAACTGAATTCTGCCACACCTAGTTATAGAGTGATAAAGAACTTGAGAAATTTAGTGCTTAATATATTAAGCAAGATTAAAGATACCCATGTGTGAAGAAGAATCTATTCAACTAACTTGAAGTAGATCTTCAGTAGAGATGGAAATGCCTCATGCAAGTGCTGAGAGACTATTATAACATAGGTACATACAATCTGCAAAACTCACATCTTGTTACATTAGTTGTTTTTGTTATAAGCTGCTCTTTCTTCATATACAAACCCAGTCTCAATAGGCCTTATAATATTTTATATTACTTAGACTTAAGTGAAACCATGTAACCTTTTTCCTGAAATCCAACTGGTAGCAAAAGAGGTCTCAGAATATTCAGTGTTTTACCAATTAACACTTTAAGGAACACATTTAAAAACAAGCAATAAACCACAACAAGGTGTGAATTCCAACATGAATCCAAATATTGGACACTCCAAGGCCTAGTCATGTGTTACTGCACTTAAAAAAACTAGAAAAGCTTACAATTATTTTAAGTTTGCTGTGTTTTAGAAAATAAGTTTCAAACAAGGGCCTTATCCAATCCTTAGAATTAGAATCATGCTAGCTATAACTAAGAGAAACATAAGGATATTCATCAGTAAACATCTACATTATGTATACCATCTAAATTTAAAAGTTCAAACCTGGGCATGCAAAATTATACTACCAAATCAAATTCATTCTTAATAGCAAAAGGACTAAACTAAGGTATTTAAAATAAAAAGTAGCTCAACAAATTAAAAATAAGACAACATAATTTGTAAATATGACTGTAGTTTTCTTATATTTATGCAGTTTTCTTATATTTGTTTCTTGCCGAGGTTCTCATTATTATTAAAATGAAATTATTTTCAGTGCTTCGTGGGAGGACACCCGGGTATCTATTCGGTTCTGGATAAGAGATAATAAAAAGTACTCATGCATCTCATAAAAAAAGTCCCACAATATTTAAGAGTGGATAACATCAAACATATGATTCAATTCAATGGTCTAGAGAAGTAATGCAAAATTTGCATGCTGAGTTCACTCCCAGATCCCAGGGTCCATGGAATAAAAGGTGCTGAGGAAGCAAAGCATTCAGCCCTTTGAAAGGTATAGCTCAAGTCACTTTAAAGACTCCCTTCAGATGACTCAAGTGGCATTGATTGGTTTGCAAAGATGCCACTTCCCATCTTCCTCCACAGAAAACAGCCCAGTGTTGTAACATCAAAGCAGATGGGCAGGAAAGGAAAACCACAAAATCCATTTCAACCACCTTCATTCCCTCCTCCATCCCAAAAAGAGTATCCTGGAACTTTCAGATTTATCTTAATTATTGAATTAAATGTTTTAAAAATGTTTTAAAAAATGTTTTAAAAAATGAATTTAGTATTACAAAAGATGGAGGATCAACAGCTCCAGAAAGTGAAGTCATCCATTTACTGGCAGAAAACTTACACAACAGGCAATATTAAAACTTCAGGGGCCTTGATTATGCTATCAATTGTGTATTAACAACTCCTGTTGACTTCAGTGGAAATCATGTGTACACAATTACTACTACCTAGAGACCCAGGAACTATTGTCTCAACAATATAGCAGGGGTATACTGAACTCACTTAAAGTTAGAAGGCAAAAAAGTAAAGGATACTTCTGATTCTAGAATGCATACATATGCATATCTATATGTTAGACACACAGAACTGATTAAACTTAATCCCATCCTTTACTTGAAGCTTCACAAGAACGTTACTATTAAAAAGATGACATGTTTTAGACCTATTACATGCTAAGCATTAAGTTATGTTTCAAACATATACATAGTAAACTTTCTTAATTCGGTGTAAGATGAGGAAAGCTTAGCTACACAATTAAACTCTGAATATACTTCAAAATAGCAATGAATGCTCACCTGATTTGTCTGGCTACTTAGATATGGCTCAAAGTCATCATCATTTACTGCATCCTTTTGATGAATCGAACCGTTTTGTACTGAAACTGAAAAGCGAGCTTGTATTAGGCACTCTTTTAGAATTGTGGTGTTGTAACTTTAATTCAAAACAAAACACAGCTCAGTCTTAATTTCTACTAAATTGTCATCTGTATGGTCAACTGCCTGTTCTCCTTTTTTTGTTTTTTTGAGAAACAGAACATCTTGTATTGATTCAGTTACCAGGACTGTTACATTTTAGATCTCACAAGTGTTTAAAAGCCAGTACATGATATTTCTCTCTGTGAGAGAAAACCATCTAAAGCCTAGGCTATTGAATCAAATGAGGTAACAAATTTTGATGACAGATATATACATACAATATTCACAAAAGCACTGCAAATAAGTTTTGCTTGTAAGATTTAATTTCAAGATAATTTCATTAAACAACTATATACATTATAAAGTACTTGTTACAAATAATCAGGTAGACAGGTTCTCTTCTGTTTAATCCTACACTGCATTGTTGCATCAATTTTAATGAGTGCTTAGATGACAGTTGTTAGAAAGTAATCCAATGAAGAAACAACGGTGTCTTATAGCTCAGCTCAAGATTTACAAATACTTATTAGGAAAGGAAAACATATGTTTCATGAATGACAGAGGTCTGATGGTTTACAATTCGCTTTTTTTCTGTGATAAAACACCTGCAGACACACTCACTTGGCATAATTTCACAGTGCAGGAGTGTGTCAGAGCAAACCATTTTTCCTGCAGTCATAAGGGGAAAAAAACCAAACAAATGAATTCAGCATTATTGTCTGCAGAAAACCTGTACAATGAAGAACAAACCAAACTGCTATGTCACAGCTCAGTCTATAACCCTACTAAACTGCTTAAGTGTTGAAGTGCCCTGTTTCTCAGAGCTTCACATTTATACTACTATGGTCATAGTGCTATTTCTACTTTTTTTTTGGGGGGGGGGGGGAAATCTGAGTTTATTAATATATCTATGTTACTTTCACGGCAAGAGGAAATTTGCCATACCAAGTTTGTATAACAGTAAACACACTTTTTAAAACTGAGTACTCATTATGCTATATATTATACAAAGACATAGGAAAGCAAGTTCCATTACCTCAGGAAGTCCACAATCTAAGGGCAAAATCCTCTGGGGAAAAACATGACTACTTGGGAGGAATGAATACATTTCCCAGTTCCTTCCAGCAATGGACAGCTTGGAACCAGTGCAAAGTGAGATTATGCAAATAAGCTTCTTACCCACCCCCTTTGGCTCCCACTCTGCTATCCCCTGCAACCTTGTAGTAACACTTGCAACGAGAGAGGAGAAAGAAGCAGGAGCTGAGTCCCTGAAGTGATGTTACCCTCCTTCCCAACACGCTTCCTGCTACCAACTGGGATATCTTTCTCCCCTCTCCTCTGGGATACCCTAGAATCAGAAGGTGGAAACACAAGACCTTCATATCACTCAATCTCTCCCTCACAAATTCCAGATTGTTCTCACTTTTTTAGTATTTTGTTTAGAAACAATATTATGAAGTTTCCACCACTTCCAATGGGAGACAAGTCTAGAACCTAATACTTTCCTTGCTCTTTCTTCTTCAAGCTTATTACTTGGGATTTCCATGTGAAAGGTGGGCACACCTTCCATGGCACCCCACCACTGCATTATATAGCATATCTGCCTGCTTCACAACACCAAAGCACGATACTTAAGCACTTCTCCAATGTTATACCCAAGTCTAGAGTTGCATCTCTTTCCCCAGATAGGGCACTGCAGCTACCTAACATCTAACACAGTCACTCTGCAGTGGATGGGAATTGGAGCAGGTATCCCTCTTCACGATACTAATACCACTTTCCAAGCAGATTCAAATAGTCTTGACACAGCTTTGGCTGAGCTCCATGCAAACAGAATATGGACCTAAATTGGACAAGCAGGACAATAGTACAACAGATAACAATCAGTCTCAAAGCTGTGTGGGTGCCACAATGAAACCAAATAGTTCTGGATTGCCATACTGTCAATTTCCTAGTGATGAAGAATTCTAGCCCTGAAAATGTTTTATTTTGGCTCTTCACTTTAACTTGAACTGGCTTATTATTAAAAAACAACATAGATAGCACCACATATTTAGTCAGTACTTTTCAAATAAGTTAAGATACGTGATCTATGCTAAAAGCTCACCAATGTTCCAACTTCACTTTCACCTTGCTTAAAATATTAACTGGTAATTAACCAACAGTTCCCTTAATGCTACCCTCAAAATAAAATTCTGTTGTCTACTTCCATAAATAATTAGTCAGCAATCTACTGATTAATCAAATTTACAGTATGTTCTTTTTAGTATCGTTTTGCATTGAATGAAAATTTGTGTCAAAATATTCACCTGTGTCCTTTTTCACAAGTGATGAACACAAAAATGTAAGAATGAAATTTGCATTTGTGACGCATGGCTAGAAAGGGTTAAACATCCTGCAAAATAAACAACCCTCTAAACACATGTGGGGAGATAATGTTTGTGTTTTTATGTATTTACATATTATGAGTAGGGTTGACAATGTAATCAACAGTCGCTGTCTTATGTTGCATTCTGATAATTCAGAGATCAAAAGAACATCTTAGCATTTAAATGAATTGTAAACACAGGATAATATCTCAGTATTCATCTCTCTTTGAAATGTATAGCAAATAATCTGTGAATGGTGGAGGAACAAGCAAATTGCCTTATGTTAATTCTATAGCTAAGTACCAGCGATGGACTTCATTCAAAGTCATCCTAATTACCTTTTGATCCCCGAGGAAATCCCAACTTGTCAAAGAGGACATGAAATTGTATAAAAAATCCTTGGGTCCTGATTCTCTCATTTCAGATCTGCTTAAGCTTCACCAGAGGAAGTTTGAGTCGCAAGACTGAGGTCCTAGTTATGCTGGTACGCCCTGAATATGATATTTGGACACTGGACTATAACATATGAACTGAATTCTAAAGGAACTCTTTGCATCTACAAAGCTCACATCTCTGCTATAAGAATGAGGAGTACTTGTGGCACCTTAGAGACTCAAATTTATTTGGGCATAAGCTTTCGTGGGCTAAAGCCCACTTCATCTGCATGCAGTGGAAAATATAGTAGGAAGATATCTATATACAGAGAACATGAAAAAATGGGTGTTGCCATACCAACTCTGATGAGACCAATCAATTAAAATGGGCTATTATCAGCAGGAGGAAAAAAAACAAAAATACTTTTGTAGTGATAATCAGGATGGCCCATTTCAAACAGTTGACAAGAAGGTGTGAGTAACAGCAGGGGGGAAATTAGCATGGGGAAATAGTTTTTACTTTGTGTAATGATCCATCCACTCCCAGTCTTTATTCAAGCCTAATTAAATCGTGTCCAGTTTGCAAATTAAGTCCATTTCTGCAGTTTCTCGTTGCAGTCTGTTTTTGAAGTTTTTTTGTTGAAGAATTGTGACTTATGTCTGTAATTGAGTGACCAGGGAGGTTGAAGTGTTCTCCGACTGGTTTTTGAATGCTATAATTCTTGACGTCTGATTTGTGTCCATTTATTCTTTTGCGCAGAGACTGTCCAGTTTGGCCAATGTACATGGCAGAAGAGCATTGCTGGCACATGATGGCATATATCACATTGGTAGATGTGCAGATGAACGAGCGTCTGATGGTATGGCTGATGTGATTGGGTCCGATGATGGTGTCCCCTGAATAGATATGTGGACAGAGTTGGCAATGGGATTTGTTGCAAGGATAGGTTCTTGGGTTAGTGTATTTGTTGTGTGGTGTGTGGTTGCTGGTGAGTATTTGCTTCAGGTTGGGGGCCTGTCCGTAAGCGAGGACTGGCCTGTTTCCTAAGATCTATGAGAGTGAGGGATTGTCCTTCAGGGGTAGGTTGTAGATCCTTGATGATGTGCTGGAGAGGTTTTAGTTGGAGGCTGAACATGACAGATTCCAATGAGAAACTGCAGAATTGGAATTAATTTGCAAACTGGACACCATTTAATTATGCTTGAATAAAGACTGGGAGTGGATGGGTCATTACACAAAGTAAAAACTATTCCCCCATGCTATTTTTCCCCCTGTTGTTACTCAAACCTTCTTGTCAAACTGTTTGAAATAGGCCATCCTGATTATCACTACAAAAGTTTTTTTTTTTCCTCCTGCTGATAATAGCCCATCTTAATTGGTCTCGTTAGAGTTGGTATGGCAACACCAATTTTTTCATGTTATGGTGTGTGTGTGTGTGTGTGTGTGTATATATATATTTTCCTACTGTATTTTAAACTGCATGCATCTGATGAATTGGGTTTTAGCCCACGAAAACTTATGCCCGAATAAATGTGTTAGTCTCTAAGGCGCCACAAGTACTCCTCGTTCTTTTTGCTGATACAGACTAACGTGGCTACCACTCTGAAACCCATCTCTGCTATGAATCTAAACCTCAATGAATTGAACTCATGTCTGTATATACATTGATCTTTTAACCATTCTCTCTCTCTTGTTTAATAAATTTTAGTTTAGTTAATAAGAACTGGCTGTAGCGTGTATTTGGGTAAGAGCTGAAACATTCATTCAGCTGGGAGGTAATGTGTCCGACCCTTTGGGATTGGTAGAACCTTCTCTTTTAATATGATGAAATAAGACTTTCAGAAATCATATCTGATTTAGGTACCTGGATTGAGGCCTGAGGCTGGATCACTTTAAGGGAACTGTGTTGTTTCGACTTCTGAGTAAACAGTAAGGTAATGAAGAAGCTGTTTTATGCTGGCTTGGTAAATCTAAGTATTAGAATATTCACGAGCTTTATGGGGACTGTCGGCCCCATTCTTTGCAGTTCACCCTAATTGAGTGACCTCAGCTGGCCTCCAGTCACAGCATTAAAAGAGTGAAGCTGATTTTTCTTAACTAGTATGCAAAATACTCAATAAAAATGCCTACTAAGTTTCCATTCCTATGCTTCGTTCTAGTTTGAGACCTCACAGTTAAATTTAACAGCTTTATTTTAAGTAAGAAAACATCATATAATACAGTGGAAGATGATAGGAAAGTACTGACATCTGCATATCTTGTAATTTTAATACATTAGAACATGCAAATTGAGAAGAAAGTGTTTTGGAAAGAGCAATAATCAAACACTTTCATAAGAAAAGGCACCTTTTTATGGGTTGAAGCCTATTCCAACCAACAAGCTCTCTCAGTAATTGTCCAAGAGTTGACAGCTGAAACAGACAATACCTTCAGAGAAACGTATTTTACTCATTCAGTTCTTGCAGCAACACAAACTCTTGCTTCTTTCACATAAACCTGAAATATATATTACTGCTCTGCTACATATAGATCTTCCTGGATCTCTACATACATAGTGTATGTTTTCCCTCAATTTATAATTAATTGTCAATAAAATGTCAGAAAAGAAGTCTCACAAGACCACATAATTTAGTTACTTTCACAATATTGTCCTAAGGTGTTTTACAATTTCAATGTTAACTGCTCTCATACAATATCTTACCACTATTCCTACTTATCCTCGTATACCTTACTGCACTACTTCCTTCCCGTCTGCCAAAGATGCCGCCAACAACTACCCTTTTTTCCATTTTCTTCCATGTATCAAAATATATATATTCCCCAAACTAGTCTGTCAGCTCACTACTCTATCCTGCTTCAAAGACCACTTCAAACAGGAACCCTATCATGAACCCTGCAGGAGATTACCAGCTGTTAATGTATAGCCAAGTAGGGACTACCAATATCTACTTTATTTATACCCATGAAATAAGTAAAAACTCTGAATGACTCAAAACCATCTAACTGTGTATATTAACTAGTCTATGTAATCAAGCACTCCTATCACTGTTACCTTCATCCTCCTTCCCCATTCCCTTTATCATCTGTCATATCTTGTCTTATAAGACTGAGCTATTTAGGGGAGCGATTGTCTTTTACTATATGTTTGCATAGTGCCTAGTGCTGTATGTGATTGGGACATCTGTCGGTAATACAAATAAACCATTTTCACTAGCATATAGTAATACGCAGTTAATATAAAGTATTTAACAGGATGCAATCTAAAATAGTCTAGATCAGGTAGTTTAGGCCCAACATTTAGGTTTTGGAAAAAGGTTTTACTTAAGAGCTTTATTTGGATTCTAACATTATGCAGAATTCATAATGCACCTATCACAAAATTATGCTAGTGCACGTAAATCAAAGTAAAATTCACTAGTCTTTGTTCATTATTAAATAATTACAGGCAATCCATGCATCAAAAGCTTTAATTCAAGTACAGACAATACAGATCAAGCAAAACACCGGATGAAACTCAAATTGGTGCAGATCTCCATGAGATCACCTTTAAATAGCTTAAAAATAGTGTAGTTTAAGAAGAAAGTTGAAGGTAGAGACCTCTTGGCATAAAAGAACAAGAGATAGTGCCATGCACAAAGGTAACATTGAAGAAGACAAGAGCAGAAAAGGAAAAAAGCAGGTGGTTAAAAGCCAGGCTTGAAAAGAGTGTAATGAGTGGCAAAAGAAGAAGACATGGAAGAACAGAAATGGAGGAAGGAATGGAGTTGTGCAGGGCTTTGACAGCCAAGGAGAGAGGATTTAGGAGGTAAAGTTCATTCAGTGGTTCACCACAAAGGCTGAGATTACGATGGAACATTTTGATAGGTCAAAATGGGACAGTAGATTTGGGAGGCACCTTTAAGGAGCTGTGTTGATGAAAATGTGGGTAAGGTTAATATTGCCCAGGGACAGAGCCTATATGTAAGACGAGACTGAGAACAAAATCCTAGAACAGTGACAAGTTTACTACTTGATGAATTAAATGCAGTGAATAAGAAATTCAAGTAGTACACAAATGATATAAATGGTGAAACCTTCTTTCTGTTGGATGATTTTTAGTAATAAATATGGCATTTTTAAAAAAGATTACGAATATGATGGTATCGTTTTCAAATAAACCCTTTACAAAGAATATAATGTTCATAGTTTAATGACAGAATATTTTACTGCTATAAAAATGATTTTTTTAAAGTATCATCCATCCATAGATGTTTCTTAAACTATGCATGAAGATATCAGTGAGAATGCAGATTATATCTATCACACAGATTGCATTCTGTATGTGTGTTATTAGTGTAATACAACTGCTGACCTCCCAGGAAAACAAACAAACATGAGAAAACTGGGGAGGAGATGGGGGTCACAGAATAAAATCTGACGACTGTATTAAACAAAAGATTATAAACTGCAGGACCGAGAGAAGTGTTGGTCATAAAATATGATCCAAAAAGTCACAGTCATTTAGGCACAGGCTTTTCCAGGTACTTTTAGGGGGAGGAGTGTTAAGGAAAGTGAGTAAAGTTTTTGTGGGGGAGGATAAGCTAAGAGAGTATGGAATTTAAAGAGCATTAGTAAGGTGCTAACAGATAGGGGGAAGAAGTGAAAACAGAGAAGCTGGATAACTGCTAGAAGGAATACTCTGTACTGGATTCTGAAATGAATAAGACACCAGTGAAGATTTCTCAGAATAGGAGTGGTGATGTGTTCTGTTCATGGGTATGAGTAAGAAACTAAATGAACATACATGATCATTGTTCTTTAGATCAAATGACCCTCATTAGACATTAATAAGTAACAACGAATAGGGTTGGTGTAAATGCCTAAGGTATACTCAAGGACAGCATGCCAACATTTTTACTGAAAGATAGCTAAATGGAAACAGCTACATCTTATCCCTTGATTACTCATGACAATGATTACTTTAATAAGCATATTAAAGCATTTTTACAGTGATATATCATGTTAAAAATATTGGAAAAATACTCTTAGCACACCACTTCTAGTCATGCTGGTGTAATAAAATCAGCGTGACATGGCATTTACCAACAGTGGTTTTTACCAGGCAAAATCATGTTTTTTGGTGTCCCAGGAAAGATGTTACAGATACGGTATTATCTATTTATTTTAAAAACTGCTTCTTTAATAGACACCACAATATACTTAGTTTTAATTACATATTCAAACTGTGATTACATAAAACAATAGATTTGGAGATTTTATTTGTACAACTCTAAATTAAAATAAAACTGCAGTGAGCATAATACTAATATATGTCAGTATAATAGTGAACATTAGAATGTCTGTATACATTTTGATTTGGTATTTTCCTCAAGCAAGTTATAAGTCATTACTCACATTTCAGTTTTCAATATTACATAAACAAAAGTCCAAAACATTTTATTATATGAAAACAACAATAATGCAATGTGAAGCATGCAGAGTTTCAGACTAGCAGTCCAGCTCCATTTGGCCATGCAACATTCTGTAGCAGAGGACCAACTTTGATGTAGTGGACAGAGCAAACCTATTCCACAGCTTTGAATGGATGTTTGAAAGAATTCATTCTACGCTTGCTGAACTTGCTGGCCACCGAAACAATTATTTTTCCCAGTTTCCTGGTCTAAACCAGGGTTAAGCTGGTATTTACCAACTCCTGTCCTAAATTAGTTATTCCAAGGAAATTGCCAACCTTGGATAAGATGGGGTTTTAGAATATCTTGTAGTTACATTCACTTTATATAATTGGTTGAGGACATCTTTTTCCATATATTGCAGGATCAGGGCCTCAGACATAAATAATAAGGAATCATCTTACCTTTATTTCCCTGTCCTTTAGGTCTCTGTATATAAAAAGGTAAAAAATAAAAGGAAAAATATTAATAGGGAAATTAGCAAAAACTAAAATCCTTGAATTTTCCATTCATGATGGTTTACGTTTGCCGATTTTATCATTTAAAGGAACAGTCAATTTAAATTACACCCAAAACTTAAAATATGGTAAAAATACATTTTAATAAAATCCAAGACAAATAGAAATGTCTCCATGTCTAAGAAGGTCTACTAAAAATAACTGTGGTTTTCAATCAAAAACATTCCTCTGCAGTGTCTGAAGCCTAAAAGCTGCAACACTGAATCTGCAAGGTAAATTGCTTTGTTTTTTTATTATTCAAGGTGAGAGAAAAGCACTAAACAAAATAAAAGTAAAATAAAATTTTAAGAACATCTTCCATTTTAGTAGGCTAAGGCTACTGCAAATACAGAAACTTGTTTACAGCATGTGATCTTTTAAACTGACAGATGGGCACTACTGTTACTGAAGAATGGACCAAAATTTACAAAGTGTAGCTCAGTGAGGCACGCTTTTCATATGCTTTTCAGATACTCAAAGGAATGTACAGTAATATAGCAAGACATCTAGTGGCCTGAGCATTGGGCGGAGCCTAAGACAATCAGTTATGTATGCCCAGTCCTGTATAATCATGCTCATTTCCACAGAGGAAACAGAGATAATATCACAGAGTTGTTGTGAGGATTAGTAATTATAAAGCACTTTTAATCTGGCAGGCAATAAGCATTATTATAACAGAGAAGGTTATATCATCTTAACATCTTGTATAACATAAAATTCTGTTTGGAAAAAACAAAACTGCTAACTCAAAGTTCTAATTCACACACCATCTTTCCTCTGGCACATACATTTCACTAAGCCGCAGTGGGTCTCCCTTGGCTCCATCACCCTTTAATGACTTGCTCATTTGTTAGTCAGTCTCTTTCTCTTAATCCAGACAAAATGGAAAAAACCCTTAGCTCTAAAAAAAAAAATCCTTCATATCCAAGCACATACCAGACACAGGGACGCAGAGCCCACCCCAAAAAGATAGTGGAGTTGTGGGCTAGTGGCCCACAAAAAGAATGGGATGAAAGAAAGAGAAGGCACTCGCAAATAGGAATGAAGAACAGAAAAACACACGGCTAGGAAGCAATATGGCAGCCCACACAGGGATAGGAATTATGGAGCATGAACAGTATACAGTACAGATGCAAAGAGGCACAGACAGGATTTGAGAGGGGAGAGGCAGATGCAGGGGCAGAACATTTTGGGGAGTGGCAGAGGCCCAAGAAGGAGGCAAAGGCCTAGAGAGGGTAGGGGGCAAGAGATAAGGAGGCAACAGAGGCCTAGTGAAGAATAGGTAGAGAAGGGGACAACTGAGGCCCAGGGCAGGGAAGTGTGGAAGACAAGGAAGCACAAACCCAGGGAGGTGAATGTCTGGGGGAAGAGAAGGTCACGCAGGAGAGAGCTTTGAGGAAGGGGAGAAGTCAGAGGCCCAGAGAGAAGGAGAAAAAAAAAGAGGACTAAGGACAGGAAGAGGGAAAGGAGGCAGCATCACAGACCCGAAGGGAGTTTGGGGTGTACGGGGGAAGAGAAGTTTCAACCGTTACCCAAAGCGTGGGTGGGGAAGAAGACGGTAGCAAAGACCCAGATCCAAAGATAAGGGAATTGTTGGGCATAGTGGGGGAAGACAGAGACCTAAAGAGGACGTGAGCCCAGAGAGAAGGATAAAGGGGAATCAGCCGCCCAGAGGAGAAGAAATGAAGGAGGACGCATCAAAAGACAAGATATTGAGGAGCAGGAGGCAGAAGCCTTGGGATGAGGGGTGAAAGGAGGCTCGGAGCGGGGTAGGGAATCTGGCGCGGCTCAGATGCGGCTATAAATAGGGGTCTGCGGCTGCCTGGATCCTCCCCGCGGGGGGAGAAAGTGAGGAGCCCACGATACTGAGCGCAGGCGGCGCTAAGCCGCGCTGCCGGCCGCGGGGATGAGGCCGGGGAAGCCGCGCTGGCCGCCCGACGGCGGAAAGGGCCCGGCCGGATTCCGACCCGCCTGGCCGCGCAGGCCCTTCCGCCCGGGCCGCTTCCTCCTCCCGCCCGGCGGCCCGTACCTGATCGACGCTTGTGGCTGACATTCTTCACGGGGAACCGCGATCCCCTCGCTCCGCCTGGGCCTCGAGTGACTCCCGCACACACCGACCGCGCCGCTCTCCCCGCTGCCGCTTGATTGTCGCCGCCGCTGCTGCCCGGGCTCGCCGCCGCTGATCTGGTTCCCGCTGGAAGGAGCCGGCCGGCCGGACGCAGCGCTGCTTCCCCCCTGCTCTAGGCGCCGCTTCCCCACAATGGCGGACAGGCTCCGGCTCCCACTTCCGCTCCCGCCCTGACCTTCCGCTCCGCCGACGTCGCCACTGACCTTTCCCTTCCTCTCTCCGCCTCCATGTCACGTGAGGGTGGAAACGGACCCGCGCGCGCACCATACTAGGGACTCAAAGAGCGGGGGGAGGGAAAAAGTGGCGCCCATAGCGACTGCGCGCCCCAGCTCTCCAAGACGCGCACGCGCACCAGAAAGGAGGCTGGTGGAGAGGCCAGAGGGCGCTCAAGAAGGGAGCTGGAGCTGTCTCAATTTTTTCCAATGCGCATGCTCGCTGTGAGCTTTGAGGGACAGCCTCCGGGAGCCCACAGACTGCACATGCGCATATGAGAAGCGTCTCCTCCAGGGGTTTGGGCCAGCTGATTCCTGTCACCAGTGGGGCAGTCAGCCAGCTGTCCGTGGTGGCAGACGCACTGACGGGCTGGGGGCATTTTACAATGCTGGGGCTGTTTGCTACAGATCTGAATTATTCCCCGTGCAGCTCTAGAGGCTCCCAAAGAGGAAATGGAGAGAGATAAAGGGGACAACTTATTAAAACTTGCTGAACCTACCATTGTGTTTATATACAAATTGTGCCCCGTGGATCATGGACATGATCTGAGCATGTGTGCCTGCGCCCCAGTAACTACTTGAGCCGTCTCCCTCTGTGTGCACATAGCTACTGTTGATGCAATCCCTCTGTGCACCCAGATACCGGTGTGCTCCAACATAATCATGTGTGTAACCCCAGTGAGCAAATTTGCACCCCGGTGCGTAAATGTTGAGTTTGTGTATCCCAGTAATGTGTGTAATTCCCTGTAACTACATACAGTCCCTCTTTCTGTGCACCTCACTAATCCTACATGTTATCACTCTGCACCTGGGTAATTGTGTGTGAAATCTCTTTGTGCATGTGTCTGTGTAATTGTGTTCAGTACCCATACATCTGCATCCAGGTAATCATATGTGCATATGTATGAGAACTGAACACACAATTATTACATAGATACATTCACCCAAGTAATGTGCACAAACCCCATATGATGTCATTGTGCTTGCAGTTCCTGTGTACGTTTATATATTGTGGCTGCAATTTAGATCCAAAAGTTTTGAAAATAGAAGCCTCATTATGTATTTGGTAGTAGTGGGTTTCGATCCTGACCTTTATAATGTGGACCACAGGCAGTCATGCTTCTAATTGAGCTATGCAGTGTTGGTCTCAGGATATTAGAGAGCCAAGGTGGGTGAGATAATATCTTTTATTGGACCAATTTCAGAAGTTGGTCCAATAAAAGATATTATCTCACCCACCTTGGCTCTCTAATTGAGCTACACTGCTCGAAGAGACTACAGGTTTTAAACTGCAATGCACCATCAGGATCAAAATGCCCTCCTTGATTAATCGTGCCAACTCGTGATTTTTATCATGAGTATTACAATATTTGGTGTTTTTCTTAAAAAAGACCCAGCTCCTGGAATCATGTTATTACATGAAAATTTCAACTTTTATTTTTAAAAAACCCACATTATTAGCCCTCATGGTTGTGGACAAAGGCTCAAAAAGAAGGAAACTAAAGTCTCAAGAACTAGATGGCAAACAAGAGAATCCCACACTTACTGTTTTTTAAGATTTCATTATTTTTAGGTCAATTTAGTGATTTTGGGGGAGCTGACTGATCATTTTTGAATACTGGTTGCTGTAAATATTGCTACTGTTTGTAGTTAGTTGTTGCCTGCCGTGTATGTGTTCTTTCTGTGTGCTGTCCCAGCTCTGCGCAGATAGCCAACACAACAGACCTTGATCGAACTACTCACAAAGACCACAAGACTTGGTTTGTAGCGAAGACACCCGGCCAGATTTATTGTAGACGAAACACAATCCTCACTCCCTGCACATGCACATGTCTACACTAGCACATGTATGCCCATGACAATGGACCAGCTCAGTGAATGGCGGGACTTTCATTCCCCTCTCGGTTGGACAGAGACCCCTCTGTGACCCTTCTTTTATACCCTGATACAAACAAGTTATGTATTGTCCCTCTGACATGGTTAGCTACCACCCTTTACCTTGTACATGTTGGTTCAATCAAAATATCTCTATTCGTCACCCTGTCATCCTAACCTTATCTTTAAGAGGGGTCACTCTCTCCTTGTATCAGCTTTGGGGAGAGTGTTTGTACAATACTTGGTAGCAGGGGTTCTGGTAAACCCTTCTGGAATGTGTTTGTGTGAGTGTCCTGTGCCTAGTACTTCTCAGGAATGTGTGCGTCTTTGCAATACCATCCCTGTTCTTGCCAGGTTCTGTGAACTTGCAAGCAGGCATGTTTTATAACAGGGCTTGACTTCTGCTCAGAGCCCAAATTTGCTAACTGTGCATTTTGCTTTGTATCAGCAGGGCCTGACCACTACTTTAGCTCAGGGCTGAGGCCTCATACACAGCCTCATGTTTCAGGCTCTCTCTTTCTACTACACTGTTATCCAAATGAAGCACTGTTCAGTGGTACCTGTTTAATACAATGCAGCCGTGGGAGGATAAGAGAAAATGGTAGGAGCCTTAGATTTTTTTTTAAACTTAAAATTAATTTGGCTTCTGTGAGACTAATCACGTGCCCCAGGTTGTAATATTTTGGTGGGTTGGAGGCTGTGCTGGGAAGGAACTCTGCGCCCCTTCATCTTATCTATATCACTAAGAATGTGATAGAGTGAAAATTATCCTTTAGAAGAATGCAAGTTCAGCAGGATTCCAATCTATACTGCAAGCCTCACAGATTCTTAGGCTCAAATGAACCTTTTTGATGGGAATATTATAAGACTCTGAGGACTCAACGGAATGCTCTGTGGCAATTAGTTTGTAATATAATAGGTCAAGCTGGAGCATTAGGTAGCTCTAGAGATTTTTGCAGATATATATGGTTCATTTTTTGAAGTGCATTAGGCCTATGTGTAAACTCACTTTTCTATACCATTATAATTGTTACATCAGTAAAATTACTTTACATGGGATGGGAACCATTATATTTTGATTCCAGCATCTACCAGTATTATACTATAGAGCATAAGATTTGCATTATAGATGTCCATAGCATACACACAGTGCAAATGTAGTCTTGGGGAACCCACTAGACGATCAGAAAGCTGAAGAAAAGAACAGTTCCCTTTATTTAGTCATGAAAATCATTAGCTTGTTATCAAAATCTTTCCTTTGGCCTCCAGAAACCTTTTGGATTTTTCTGAACACTACTGTCAGTGCCAATTTAATGGCTGATTTAACTTACAGAGTAAAAAAGGTGTCTAAGTTAGCCTCAAGAAACATTTTTTCCTTCAGTGCTAATAGACAAAGACTGCAAGAGAAAGAAAAAATATGTGCTGTATTTTAAAAACAACTAGGTTTTAGAACATAGTTGTTAGGTTTTCAAAGAACATGATGATGTGAGGTATAAATGTTTAGATCAATAGATTCTCTCTCAGTCAAAGTTGAAAGATGCATGCCAGAGAGTATATTGACTATACATGGACATTAAAATTGGAAGTCAATGCACTACAGAAGCAAGGGGAAGAATATGCTCGGAAGTGAGGTATTCTTCTTGGTACATTTGTTAGGAACGAGGACATCTAGTCCTGCGACTGTGAAAGTTCATAGAAAAAGACTGTATAAAAAGGACTGAAATGATCAGGATTTTTTAAAAATTGCAACTGTATGTAATTAAGAAATAAATATATTTAATTTTTCCATTAAACATAACTATCTATTTAACTCTATATTACAACACTATTAAAGTAAGTTTAATTAGTGGTTAGATTTACAAAAATAATTAAAACTTGAGAGATACTTGTAATTATTTTAAATGAATTAATAGATTCATAGTTTCACAGATTTTAAAGCCAGGAGGAACCATTAGGATTATCTACTGTGACCTCCTGCGTGATATAGACTAGAGAACGTCACCTGGTAATTGCTGCATCAAGCCCATAACTTCTGTTTGAACTATAGCATATCTTTTAGAAAGGCATCCAATCTTGATTTAAAGACTTCAAGTAATGGAGAATCTATCACATCTCTAGGTGAATTCTTCCAATGGTTAATTACCTTTACTGTTATTTAATACAGTCTTATTTTAGGGAGAATTGTTCTTTTCTTATTCTTCCTTAAATTAACCTTTGGTATATGAGACATTTCAATTATGAACTTCTCAATGCAGTAGTGAGTGATTCTACAGTTCCCTTAACCCATCCTTTTTAGTATAGTTTCAGGTGCAGCTCATTTACTTTGTTTAGTTTTGAATAAGTCATATTTGAACTACAACTGACAACTCAGCAGCTCTTCACTGAGATTTTTACCATTTGGCATTTACTGTACATATTGAAGTGACATTTCTGTATTTTTTGTAACCAGATCATGATCTGAATATCAAAGTTGCAGAATTTCCTAAGTCTTTAAAGGCCAAAGTGACCTAAGAATGTGTTGACTTAACTATATTGGTGAAAATTATCAAGGCTACAGACAAATGTCAGTATTTTTAACAGAAGATACAACATCTATATTGTATAGGAATAAAAGTTTGTCATAAAAATCACTGTCCTATCCTTAGAGAATCCCTCTTTCCAAAGCTACTATACATACACATACAGTAAACAAATATTACTGTCAGTAGCCAGATGGTTTTAGATAATTTCTTCTTTAAAAGAAATACATGAATAAAAGCAATAAGTGTACTCAATACAAGGGACACAACAGTACTTCCCAAGTGCACAGAACAGAGTAATTATTAAGGAGATAATAAAGGATTTAAAATTTTTATTAAAGCTAATGTTTAAAATCAAGTTTACACAAGTTTAAGAAGGAAGGTACTGTACATCTGAGGTCAGGCTTGAGTTATCAGAGATTACAAAGTTCACAAGATACATACATATTACATAACCAGCATAGACCCAGATTGGGGTGCGGGAGTTTTTAAAGAGTCAGTGAATAAGTGATCTCGGGTATGCCACCCATAGAATGTATTTAGAGTCCAAGTCAGTATTGGTGTAGT